GGATCAGTGTGACTGCCTTTTATAGGAAAATAAATGGAAAACAGGGCAATGCTTTCTCTGCTTTTCTAAGAAGTGCCCAAGACCTGCATGCACAGAGGGGGTGAGCACACCAACACTAAGCTAGATAAACTGCAGCAGTGTCTGCTGCACATGCCAGTGCCCTACAGAATCCCTGGTTTAGGGGTACACAGCCAGTCTGTCACACACAATCACCATGAACTCACTGCCCATCATCCGAGGGACTGCCAGGGTTGGACCCTCATCACCACCAACCATAACAACATTTTCCCTTGCCAGCACCCAGAGCTGAGATTCTAGAGTGTTTTCCTTCAGGCAGCACCCAGTTGACTTCGTGTGCAGCTGGAGGTTTGCCCAGCTTGGTTTGAACCAGCACTTCAGGAATTGATCAACGCTGCTCCCACCCAGCAGCTCAAGGTGCTTAGCAAAGAGCAGAACTTCACCTGACCTGTAAAATACAGGCCATTTTACAGCATCTACCTCAGAGCTTGATGAACAGATGCAGATTTTCTAAAAATCACTGTGCATGTGAGGCCAGGTGTCAGGAAGGAGCTGCTGAAGGCACCAACCTCCAGGCAAACCTTGTCCCCCGCTGTCCCCTCTCAGGCCAAGGTCACCTCTGCCCTCCTAACACTTTTCCTCCTCGGTAAGGAGCTGCTCCATTGAGTCATTTTGCCTTCTGCATTTATCAAAAATATTATCCATTAGCTGTAATGGATATAATATTATTATATATAAAAATAATACTTTGCACTTCTAGGGTTGCCTCCTTGAAGCTCCTCACAACCAATATGAAAGCAGTCCTTACAGTGAGCTGGGGAGGTCAGTGCCTATATTAAAATATCTGTATTCCCACAGATGGCTGAGGATGATGATCAGAATTTACAATAATGCAGCAGAGGAGACAGTCAGGATCTGGGGAAGGCAGTGGTTGTGTCAGGACCAGAGCTCAAGGTTACCAGAGTCCCCAGCTTAAACAAGGATGTAACCTCGGACGAGGAGTCCCACCTAAGGCTGTGGCAGAGTGGACTCAGCCCGTGGCTTTATTATGCCCAGACCATGCTGACATGCCCTTGTCCCTTCTTTCCACCCTTCCTGCAATACTTAGAGCTGTGCTAGCAGCAGCTGGTTCATCACTTCCCTCCATGCTGGGGGAAGGAGTTCTGTCTGAGCATCCTGATGGTGATCAGTGAGCACTACCACAGCTCTGCCTCGACCAGGGACCTCGATGCCTTTGCTACCTGCAACTCCACCTGGCATCAGCTCTCACACCAGGACAGAGCAGGGCATACAGTCCGTTTCCTCACTTAACAGAACTTGTTAATTTTTCTCTTTTATAACCTGCAGCATTATCAGCAGCAAATTACTGCTATCGATAACTCATTAGCAAATAAAATGAAAGACAACGCTGCCGACATCTGTATGAAACCATGTCTGAGAGGTCCTGGCTCTTGCTTATTGGGCTTTTAGTATTCATTAAGGCTGGTAAACGGTATGTGTTTAAAATGCTGATCTATGCAGCATGTGTTGAACTCTCAATCTGCATTAGCTGAGACAGCAGCTCGTACCAGCTCTGCTGCCTAACGAACTTGATTTATCAGAGTTTCCTAAGCCCTGTTTATGAGGCTGCTTTGTTTGTAATGACTTAATATTTTTTTCACATGGGAGAATTTATCAACAGCTGTGCATCACATTGTGTCGGGTGTCCGGGTGGCCTTGGTTGTAGCTGTAGAGCAGAGCTGGGGCAGAGTGGCTCTGCTGGGAATCCTGTGACTGCTTTCCAAATGACAGCTAATTTAAAAGGTGGTGCTTCCTCTGGCCATTTGTATCAAAAGAAGGAAAAGCCGATTATCATTTCCTCTGCTGTCTTTTCTCTGCCTGGCTGGGGAAAAGGAGTGCAGGGCTGTGGGGCTGGGGAGCTCCCTGCCACGGGCTGCCAGCCAGGTCGGGCGGCAGATAAAAAGATGGGTTGGACGTCTGTACTGATAAAAAATGATATTTGTGCACGTCACCGGGCCCTGAGCAGGTGGGATGTTGTTCTGACATTGACTCTGTCCTCTCCAGCAGGCTTGACCCTGAGCAGATAAGATGCTCTGTGCTGTTCTGTTTCTTATCTCTAAAGGCTGAGGCCCCGTGACATCAAAGATATACAGAACTGATCCTTAGCACAATTACCCACAACATTTTCACCTGGTGCCCTCAAAACCTGGCCCACAGTCTGCCAAAAGCATGACTTCAGATACTTTGTGCACAGCATGCAGCTGTTAGACAAAGACCAGGCATCTTATACCATCTTAACGATATTTTCAAGCATCTTCCAGTGGCCTCTGGATCTCCTCTGGTTTCCCTTTTGCAAACTGAGGCAGGTCCCTGAAAAGGAATTCTCTTAAAGAGAAAATGTCTCTATGCATTTCAGACTTTGTTAATTGCTTTTTTGTTGTTTTGGTTTTTTTTTACTAGTCAGCCAAATAAATATAAATATTTTAAAGCGAAATATTAAATCATTAGAAAACATTTCTCTGATATGGGATTACATCCAGCTGTGCCAGAAATATGTGTGGTTTCCTACTTACCTGTCTTTCAGGGTGGAAAGTGGACATCAGTGTCTCCAGAGTGGCTGTGATGGAAAAGTAATTGTAAAACACTTGGGGCTTAGGGCACACAAGCCCTTGTGGGTCTTGTCATGGCTTTGGGAGCTCAGATATGAACCCAAACTGCTGGACTCCCCACCATGTTAGGAAATTTCATTGTTAGGAAATTTCCCACTTCCTGGGAAATTTCTTTGGCTAAACCACAGGCAAAAATCAAAGAAGATGACTATTCTTCTGATGGAAAAAATCAGTATTTGATGTTGCTATTCAATGGCCAATAGGCCCACATGAAAAAGCTACACAGAGCAGCAACAGGGGGAATTGGGAACTCAGGTGCTGCCCATCCAGTTTCAGGTGTCCTCATGCAGCAGACCAGTGTTACAATGGTCCTCTTGTAAACACACTTCACTGGGTCTCACAGCATGTTTGTTTCCAATTTGCTTATGCCTGGAATCTGGCATGTAACTTCTCATCTACACCATCTGTGGAAATTTTTATTAGAAGGGGTAAAACAGTGAAAAAGATCCACCAGTCCTGGATTTGATTCCTGGCTTGGCCATTAACTCAGGCCATCATTATGCAAACAGCCACTGGGTTATGTGACTTCATGAATACAGACTTGCTGTCATGAGGAGCTGGGGCAACAATACAGGACTTTAGGGGAACATCTCGCTGTCTCTCCACCTCTCTGCAACTAAAATATCTCTAAGAATACTTCTCTCCCAAGGTTGAGCTGACTTTTATGGCTTTACTTGGAAATCTTGAAGGGGAAGTGCTATTAAAGCACAGAGAATGATTATTAACTGATGGAGAGGTATTTTAATGAAATATGCTGGCAAGGTTCCCTTTACTGTGCAGTGCCAGTGTTAAATAGGCTGCTTGAAGAGCTGCATATCTTTGCTTTCTGAGTGAATGGCTGAGAAATAACCAGAGCTGCTTCCCCCAGTGCATTTGTTGCTGGGTCATTCTTTCTTCTTGCCATCTCTCCTTCATCTCCTCCCCAGTAAATTCAGTGTCAGCTCAAAAGCTGAAGGAATCCACAGCATTCCTCTCCTGAATTTCTCACTGCTGGGAAGCCTTTCTCTGTGTGATCCAAAGAGCCCATATTCCCCTGGTGTAACCAGCCCCAGAAACTCAGCCAGCACTGATTCCCCAAAGCTGTCACTGGGCCCAAGTGCTCCTTGGTATCTGTGCTTTGGCTTACCCCACCCAGGATAAATGGTGTGGGGATGCAAAGGGAATCAGAAGAGATGCAGAGATGTGGATTTTGACCATGATTAGTTTCTTGGAAACCATCAGTGGCACTGGACACAAAACTGAGCTGGAGCCTGGGAGCATCATCTTAGTGTGGGGACCTCCCTCACCCCTCACCCTGGACAGGGACCTTCTTTGTGAGGTTTGTTGCACTCCAGTGAAATTGGTTTTGGCTGCAGAAAGCAGGAGGAGGCAGTGATTGTTCACAAAGGCTGATGACCAGACTGGCCACAGTGCCCGAGCTCTCTGGCCAAATATTCCTGTGTTACAGTCACGTCCTCAGCATCTGCAGGGCTAGCAAAACCTTCAGATGTTTTTTTCCCCTAGATCTGCAAGAAATGACTTTGGAATTCCAGTTTGTCCTCCTGAGACCTTCAGGTTAGCCACAAATTCTGGATATGGGCTGGGATTTTCTTTGCTCACACTAGTCCTGCTGGGTGCCACAGAGAAGTGAGAACCAGAACTTTGTTTTGTGGCCATCTCTAGCAGTTATCACATCTCCAGGCATGGGAAGTAGGTTGGCAATTCCCCCCCTGTGTTCATTGAGCCCCTGCCAGTGTGCCATGTGAATGGGAAACCAAAACAAACCCTAAAACCCCTGCAAGGAGAGATTGCTGTAGGAAGATCAACTTCTGCAGCCCAGTGCTACCTTCGAGGAACACAATGAAAGCAGCCAAAGGTGCCATCTGTTTGTGGTGGAACCTGTAAATGTACATCTATTTCTGAATTCTTGCATTATGGAACTGGAAAGGTCTCAGCTGCAGCGTGCACAGGACGTGGAGCAGCATGGAGATGAACTCTGTGTTTGAGCCCAGGACACCAGGAGAGCCTGCTCATACTGGCACTGAATGAGGGGAGGCCACAGCAGGAACCATTGCAAAACTTCTGCATCTTCCAGAGCTTCTGCAAAGCTCCACCACAGAATTCACCAGGCCTCGCCATGGAAGAGTGACAACTATTTGATGAGCCAGTTTCCCACACGATGTATCTGGCATTTCCAGTGCCTTTGCCCCAAAAATAACTGGATTTCTGTTAATGAATCATTCAGATTTGTATCAGTTAGAAGCCTGACTGAACAGTTCTATTTTTTGCTTCTTCTGTTATTTTCCAGTGGTTCGCCTCACACCTCTTTTCCTTCTGTCAATGCCTGCTCCTCACACCAAAAGGGTGACTTTTTCATCACTAACTTCCTTTAAATGTTTTGTAGGGATGCCTGAATCTCTGGACAGAGAGGTCACCCAGCACAGAAAGCCAGCACCCATGGCACAGCAGGCAGAGGCTTTGCAGATTGTTCTGGGCAGCCCTGAGGTGGATCCCACTTACTGGAACCCCTTGATTTGGAGACCAGCACTCAAGGTTAACATGAGCCCTTGATCTGTTCAATCCCAGCCTTTGGGAGTTACCAGACTCTGGTATTGGTGTGTATCAGCACAGTGAATGCACAGTGGTCATTCTACAAGGGCAGGAATGCCTTTGAGACATTTTCTAGCCCAGAAAGACCTGAATCCTCGTTGAATTTTCAATGTGCTCTTGTACAAAAAACTGTGAAAGAAAAATGTGAAAGAAAGGAAACTGCCACCAGAGTGTAGAGCATTTCCATGAACTATTCCAGAAATGTTAGATACCATTGGCACAGAATGATTATTATTGGAAGTGTGAATATCCTTAGACTTTGGTGGCCAAGGTGAACATTTGTTCAGCCATGTTAAAGCCTATTAGTCAAGTTGTGTATTAGAGAGCTCTGTCTTTCTAATGTAACTTCCCTGCTCATTTGTCTCACAAAACCATTGCACCCTCCCCTCAATTAAAGTTGCATGGAGCCTTCAGCTCTGTCAATGGTGTAATTTGCATTTTCCTTGGCTTGTGAGCCTTGGGGCTTTGTCTTGTGTTATATAGGATATGCTATACAACAATTAGCCTGGAACCAAGACAACATGTGTTTACATGATAATGAGCTATTTTCTTCTTCAAAGCCTGACTCATGTATTCCAGTCATCTCCCAGCCATTTAGCCTGATTCTAGCCTGTATTTTTCAGAAGATTTTGGCCAGCCACACAGCTTTGGGATGGCAGGAATATGGCTGCTATGACCATTTGCTACCAGTCCTCAAGCTGGCAGGGCTGACTGAGAGTAATGTAGGACAGGTGAAGAATCAACTGGGTCCTTCAATTATCATTCTATGGTTGCCTGACATTAGTGTTTTGAAATGGTACAAATTTTATTTTTTTAAAGTAATATATTTTATAGTTTTAATGCATTAGCTGGATGCTGTGAAACACTTCCAGCAGCTTTAGTGTATTCTTGCTGTTTTCTGATTTCACAGGATTTGGGCTCATTCCTATTTATTAATGCTGCCCCTTGGATAATTACAGCTCTCCTCCTCTGTGATCATCTCTGATCATATTATAATTTCCTTTAATCTTCATATGAAATTTCCTTAGATTCAGGATCCAGAATGAATTTGAGTATTATTGATCAAAATAATGTGCCACATCTTAAAAGGGCCCTTACTACGTGGTGTATATTCTTGCAGCTCATTACAGCAGAATAACTTTGAAATGCAGTCTTGTCCTCTTCCCTGTAATGGGAAGAAATGATATAGCCTTGATGATACTATTGTTCCCCCCTTTTGGTGTAAGATTAGCATCCATCAGCTGGACAGCGTGATTGATTTTCTAATTAATAAGGCATTTGTATCAGCTTGCATAACCACACAAAGCTTAATGGGTTCCCCCCTGTATCTGGAAACTAATTTTGTGTGCGTGAATTTATTCCTGCACTTGGTAGCTTTTTAACCAGTGGCAAGGCTAGTTGTAGAATCCTTTACCTAGAGCTCCACAGTGTAGTAAAGGATTTAAAGCAAATTTCACTAATCACCACAACCAGATTTAAAAGCTCATTTTGAATGAAGGCTTGTGTTCTAAGGCTCGAAAACAATTGAGAGCTATGGGAAGAGGAGAATTGATGCCCTTCAAAGTGAGGGCAAAATACAGTTGGTGCAGCACAAGAGCACTGGGGCTGGGGACTGCCCTGCCCAGCTTAGCATTGCTTTTAAATCATTGTTTGATTTATCCTAAAACAATCCCTGGGCTATCAAAATGATCTATCCAGCTTTGCCCTGAGCTCTGTGAGCTCCCCTAGGAGACTGTGAACGCTGTAGCAGCTGTGACCTCAAAGGGATGCTTGAGTTAGAGAATTCCCAGCCCCCCCAGATCTCCTAAATGTCAGAGATAGTGGCCAGGACAGGGAAAGGCCAGTCAGTAACCTTAACTCTGCCCCATGCCAGGAAAATCTGAGTCCAGTTGCCACAGACAGGAGGCTGGAGGGTCACAGTGTGACCAGGTGGTGCTGAGGAACTGGGGCATGTCCTTGGTGAATAAATAAGCAGAAAACCAGTGGAGAGCTGTCCCACTTCAAGCACCTATTCTGGGTTACAGCAGCTAATTGCTGTGACAGCATAAATGATTTAGGGTGTGGGAAGTTCCCACCTCGCCCTGCATTTGAAGGGCTGCTTGCAGCCAGAGGCATGGCTGCATCTGCAGCAATGCACCTGGACCACGCTGCATGCTGGATTCCAGTTCCCTGGGAGGATGGTGATAAACCTGCAGCAGAAGCTGAGCAGAGAGGGGTGTCCTGCAGGACCTGGCTGCAAGAAAAACACTGGCTTGAGAACTTATCATCTGATTACACGTGTGTCCTTCCTGCACTGCCAGTCCCAGGGGAACAAAGCTGTAATCAGTGAGAAGAGTTGGCATCTCCTTCAGTTCGACTTTGATCTGGCTGCACTGAGAAAATGGTTTAATTCCCATATTGCATCATCGTGTCTTTCAACAAAAGAGAGAAACTGCGGGCTCTGCTCCTGGTATGAATCTCCCCTTAACTGCACAGTCCCCAGGAGCAAAAAGATGAAACAAAAGCTAAATCTTGCAGGCAACCCAAACTAAACGAGGTCAAAGATGTTCCATGATTTTAATCTACCCTGTAAATTAAATGCAGTGCAGATGGGAGCATGGTGAAGCTTCTTCACAGTCTTTTGCCCTAGCTTACACTTCCCCAGCCCCCTTGCACTAAATTATAAATCAGATGGCAAAAGCTATACATCAGCATGGATTTTGGCCCCTAGCCCTAACACACTGTCTAGAGAATGAACAAGCTTCACAGTGTTAAAATAAATAGACTCACATGCAAGCCTGGGATGATTTAAACCAGCTCTCAGTCGAGAATCAGTGGCCACCCATGTGGTGGTTACAGCATCTGGGACAGACAGTCAGGGATGGCAGCTCACAGCTGGGGGTGGGATTGGAGGGGGTCACAGCTGCCAGGAGAATGGGAATGTAAAGCTTTGGGGGAAACAGATAGTGGGAATAATGTGCTGTGTGAGCTGTGCAGGCTGCTACCAACCACCATGCACAGGGCTGAGGGATTCCTGGCCTGGTCCAGCTGATGCACTTTATTCCTTGGATGGAATCATAGAATATCCTGAGCTGGAAGAGGCACTCAAGGAGCATCAAGTCCAGCTCCTGATTTGGCCAAAATGGTGATGCTGCTTTCGAAGGAGGTGATACTTCCATTAAATTAAGAACATCCCAACCTGGCTTTAAACTGCACTAATCTGAAGTAATTTACTTCACGTAACATGATGGCACCTCATTCTCTGTTGGGATATAATGACATACATTTGGAGCTACATGTCAGGTCATCCCTGGCATTTCAGGCCAGTTTTGGCTCCCAGAGGACAGACTGGTTTGCTGCTAAGGACAACCCCAGTCTCCACCAGCATCTCCACACAGAGCTGCAGCTGAGGACACAAACTCCTTTACAAAGCCTTTTGTAAAGCAACATCTCCATTCACATGATATAGAAAGTTATGTGATTTCTCTACCTAGGATGAAAAAACAACAACATCAAAACAGTTTCTGGACAACTCTAAGGGTAATGAGGCAGGACAGACTGAGTTCATGTAGCAATATCCCAGGGCAGTGGGACTTTCATAGGAAAGCTGCTGGTAAACTGAGACTGTGCAATCACTTTAAACCCCCAAGGATAAAGTCTACACTAAAATATTTCAGCCCTCCTCAATGAGTTTAGAAAAGCACACTGTTAGAATGGCTCAGCTGATGTGTAATAAAGGAGAAGATGGAGTGCATGAGCTTCTGCCTTGTCCCTCCATCATGAGAGACTGGTACAAGGCTCAGCTATGGGGACCTTTCCTGTCCTGGTGCCCCAGCTGAGCAGAGCGAATTTAGGGGCTGGAATTGCCCCATTTGGCCACAGGCAGATGCCTCCCTGGCAGAGCAGTGAAAAGTACTGGGTGTGAGACCTCCTGCCCTTGTTCAGATGCTGGAGGAGGATTTCCTGCTCTTGAATTAACCTTGGAGGTTTTCCCAAGCTCTGCCCAGGCTGCTTCTGGAGGCAGCCAGCTGCAGACACAGCTCTGAGGCACAGCTCTGCTTTGAGAAGAGCAAAACCCCAACACCTGGGCAGGCTCCTGCCTCCTTGGCTTTCCCTTTACCTCTCAGCCTCCTGATGTACCCAGTGATTTTTTATATCATGTATCACACAATGCACATGTCCATCTGGGAATGCTCAGATTTCTGCTGGATTGGTCATCTTTGACTGGAACAACATGGGATGCTGGAGCACCAAGAGCAAACAGCTCCTCTTGCAAGTTGTTAACTGGATTCTCATTTAGATTTCATATTTGTCCTATCCTTCTGGTGAATTTGTCATCCCTAATTAATCTTGGATCATTTAATATCTTGTGTAACCACCTTATTGATTGTTCTAAATGTGCAATCATTTATTAATTTGCTTACTCCATTGGCTAAATGGCATTTTGTTTTTTGAGACCAGCTCATCCTTTGCTCATCAGTTCAAAATCACTGGACTTATTCCATGAATTCACAGATTCATTATGTCTTGTTAATAAAAGGGGATAAAGCTGTCTTCTGTAAATAATTTTATTTCATTTGGTTTCTCCAGAATGGAGAAGAAGATGGAATATTATCCAGGATTTCCTAAGCAAGTCCATCTGTATTTCAGGTGTTTTTGGCTGAGTGGTGAGAAGTGACAGTGAGCACTCTGTGCATTCAAAGTGGGACAGGAGCATCCCTTGGTAGCAGAGACTGTTCTGACTGCTTCACAAAACCTGAGGAAAAAGCTGCTGGAAAGATCTCTGATCCTCCCCATGAAGGCAGTTATATCATTTGGACATCCAAGCTGTTTAGCATGTTGCATACATTCAATCTCTGAATTTCAAAATTTCACCTGTAAGTAAAAATTAGTCTACTAATATGTTACACCATAACATTTTTTCACTTCATTTTTTCCTAAGAATATTTTCTCAGTGAAAAGTGAGACTTGAGCAAGGTCCCTGGTGGATGGCAGCTCCAGGGTAGCAGCCCCAGTGCTGTCAGAGCCATGACACTTTTCTAAGTGAGGTTACAGTCTATGTTACCCAAGCTGATAGTGGATGAAAAGAGAGATGTTTTCATCTCAATAACTGAAAACAATCTCACTTCTGATCTATAAATACACTCATCAAATTTCCCCCTGCCCTCCCTGTTGTATTACACAGCTCATGCTATATTCCAGTTTCTGACAATGAAGATGTAAAACATTTTATGATTCTCCATCATCTTCTGAGGAATAAAACCCTGCTGGGTTCCAGCACTGTGTGGCTGTGCTGTGTTAGGTGCAGCCCCGTGTCACTACTGTTTTTGGTGGTGTTACACAGATCTCTGATCCCAAATATCACCCTTTTCCCAGTTCTTTCTTGTCCTTAGGAATGCCATTGCCTTTGTGGTGAGATCCACCCATAATATCTCTGACAACAAATGCCTTGGGAAAGTGACCACACTTAGTAACTGTGGTAGAGTGTTCACACATTAAGACCTGATCCCAAATCCATTGCAGCAGTGGGATTATTCCCACCAGCCTCTGCTGGCTGGAGCTCAGGTGTCTCTTTTGATCTAGAGCAAGTCTTTCCCCAGAAGGGGATATTAGCTTTGAGCTGTCTTCTCCTTCTGTATTTCAGAAAAAAAAAAATCCCAACCTGAAAGGTGAAATTACTTAACTCACTCTCTGTCAGAGATGAAGAAATGCTACATCTGTTTTTTTTTTTCTCATGCAGCCCGTGGCTGCAGAAAGGACAGATTATCCAGGGTTAGGCAAACCCCATCCCCCAGCTGGAGAGCAGAAGGGCATTCCCATCACTGCTGGAAGAGTTAAGGATGGAAGTATCTGAACAGCTGCTTGCTTAAAGCCTCTGGCTCAAGCAGAGATCAGGGCAAATATTTCTCATTTCTTGCAGAAATGATAAAAGGAAATAAAAATCTGAAAACATTTTGTTAAAGGCCAGTTAAAAGCGAAATAGATACTTTTATAATTATTTTTACTAAGTCATGTTAATTGAATGCTGCTACATTCGGTCTCAGAGGACCTCTTGCCCCAGCAGCTGAGAAGTGGGGGGCAGAGGGACCCCCTGTTCTGCTCACCCTCTGCTTTGTGCTCGAGTACTCCTCAAAACAAGCACAAGTATTAAGATAGAGAAATGCTTTTCAGGCAATATTAGATAATTTGGAAAGCACTTGGGAACTTGGGAATGATTCATGCTGAACAAGGTGAGAGAGTGGCAAATTTCAGGGCTGTTATTTGACTTCTCAGTCTCAAAATGAGCACTATTATTTTTAGCATTATTCACTGATGTCATTGTGGCAGCTACTTGAAATCTGCTGAGGTTTTAAATGACCTAGGAAAAGGGGAATATATTCAGGTTTGTGGCACACCAAGGGCTTGGTCAGACACCCAGTGGCATGAGGGGGTTAATAGTCCGTGGCATGATGCCTGGGGTAGGAGAATCCTCTGGCACAGCATGGACAGGAACTTTCCAGCTGCTATTTGGGAGGAAAGCCTGAGCTCGCAGGGAGATGCAGTGAGACTCAGGCTCTTGTTTTCAGTCACACAGAGATGTGGCTCACCAGCCTGATGTGGCAGCAGCCGGGGGGAGAGAAGGGCAGGGGGAAGAGCTTCAGGAAAAACGCCTCCAGGGTCCTTCTCTCTTGGATCTCCTCCTCTCACCCCTGAAATATTTCAGGGGAAGGTTTATCTTTAATTGCAGAACACTGAGTGGAGTCTCTGTATTATTAAAATGACTCCTGATTTTCTAGGGGTATTCTGTTAATTAGTAGGTTTCTCCTCCCAACTAGGCTGTAAATGGAAAGAATACATACTAAACCGATTGCCCTACTTATGCAGCTACTCGGAGGAATGCTAAGATGGATTAACATGCATAGCAGAAGGCTTATGACCCTGGGAGACAGAAGAACCTGGAATAACCTTAATATCCTGTCAACTTGCATTACTGAACCTCAGTGAACAAGAAGAGCCTATTTAGCAGTCTGTCTTGGAGGAAAAATTCATACCTTTTATCTGCCTTATTCCTCCCTCTTTTCAAATTGTTTGGGGTTTTTTTTGTTTTTGTTTTTGGTTTTTTTTATCTCTCACGAATTTATTTTTATGAGGCATAATAAAGCTGTGTCACCCCCCACATCTCCCCATCCTAAATAACACCCCCACAGCAGGGAATGGCTCAGCTCTTGAGAGGTGCCTTTGTCGTGCTGTTGTGTGGTGAAAACCATCTGCACCCAGCTGGGCAGGGGATGCTGAGCTGACCCAACCTGCTGCTGTCACCAATGCTGCCCACGTGTGACATCTGCAATGTCACCTCTCTGCTCCTGCGTGCTCTGGCTGAGGCACCACAGTGCCTGTGCTGGGCAGAAGGAAGGTGGGCTGCCTTAAAATGGTATAAATCCTCCCTTCCAAATATTTTATTCTCCTCCATGAATTGCCATTGTGGATTTCAGACCTGCCCCAAGCTGAGCCCTATCACCCAAATCCCAGATATTTTACTGTTCCCAGTCTTCCCAATCTGAGTGTCTGGGTTCTTCTGAATGTTTGATCCTACTGGAAAGATGGTAACCATAACAGCCCTCTTAACAATGCACATCTCAGCCCTCCCGAGCCCCTTCTATCACATAAATAACTACTAGGGATAGCAACACTCTTCATGGAATGTCCATCCCCTCAGACCTCTGTTATTCATTTAACACCTGGGAAGATCACTGGAGTCCATGTAGCTAAACACATCCCTTTGTGCTGAAGTGACAGCTTAAAAGTCCCTTAATTGCCCCCATGCTGGGGACAACCCAGCCCTGGCCACCCCTCTCTGGTCCCAGCAGCATCACAGGGGGGTTCCTGTGCCAGAGGGGCAAACTTTAATGGGAGATGCAGCAGTGCTCCCATGGCAGGCAGAATCTTCATCATCATTAATTATTCCTCCTTCCCTCACCTTTCCACTTGGGGTTTAGCTCAGCCTTGATAAAAGAGGGGTTATTTCTTTAATGAAAAAAAAGTCAGAAATGTATCTCACAATTACAGAGTTCAGTCTAATTAGGACTGAAAAACACACATGTAATTGCCTTATGTGTCTGCTCCTGAGATTCCCTTTCAATGTTAAATATGTGTGGAGCACCTTCCCTGATAAATGACATTTTTCTTACAGTTCACAGGGAGCAAAAGGAGAGAGAGCCCTGTGCTGCTGCCCCTCAGGAAGGTCTGCTCCCCTCCAGCCCTGCTGCAAGGGTATTCCAGAGGACTGGAAGCAGAAAGTAGCCCCAGGGTTTGGGACAGCTCATGTCCGTGGAGGGAGAAAAATGTGCTGAGCACAGAAATAGGTCAGGGCTGAAGCAATGCATCCTCCAGCTGCTTTGCTTGCCTCCCTTAAATACAGGAAACACCAGAACCTTCATTTCTATTCCAAGTGAGGGCCTTTGGGCTCAAAAGCCCTCATAGCAAATGCATAAGGAGGGAAAGCAACAAATACAAGTATTCCAGTTGTATGAAGGAAATTAGAGAATATAGTGAGGGGAAAACCTCATCTGGGACACATACAGTATTTATTCCAGCTACATTTTTCAAAAGCAGCAATCGAACTCTGTGCCTGCTGAAGGATATAATTCAGTTCTCACTGAGGGAAACAGTAAAATTCTCATTTAACAGGATAACTGCTCCTACCCCAGCCATTCTCTCTGCCTGTGGGTGCAGTGATCCCTGATGGGCTGCCCACCCCCCTCAGCACTCCATGCAGTGTCCAGTGCCAGGGGGATCATGCTCCAACCTTGTCACTTCCCCATGTCCTTCCCCAATGGAAAAATGCACCCATGTGTACCAGCAACATGCACCAGTGCTGCAGAGGATGTGATATTATTTTATAAATGTATATATATATATATATATATATATATTTATATATCTGGAGCTGCAGGGTGTGCAGGTTCCATGTGAATAGACTGAGCATTCAACCCCCTGTCATGACCTTAGCACCATGAAGGGGGGATGCAGGATCCAGGGCAATATTCCAGCACTTGTCCCACAGTAGCAGGAGAAGGAGACTGTGTGGGAAGAGGCAGGAGAAATATCAGAACCCAGTTAAAAGGTCAGCCAGGCTCTCTCAACCCTGGGTCCTCCCCCAGTGAGGAAGTGATAACCTTCTTTACATCATAACCTGTCAAAAATATAAACATAATGTATCAGCCTGGATGTGTCAACTAAAGCCAGGGAGAAAAATGTCCCTGGGACACAGCCAGCCTCCAGGGAGTGCCTGGCTGCAGTGCCTGAGTCATGCCTGCACATTGCAGCACACTTATTTCATCTGGGTCCAGTTGTCAGGCTTTGTGTTTATTGTGTCCCACATCACCCAGATGGGGTGATGGCACTGCCAGGATGGAGCTATGGAATTGCCAAATGTGTTTCCATGGTCTGGCAGGTTGGCCTGGCACAGCTCACACCATCCTGGGTCAAGAGCTGACTGCAGCAGGGTCTTACACTTGTGCTTGAGGGTACAGGAAACTGACACAGTAGAGTGAAATAATAAAAGAAAATTCATAATGAACAAGGATGATGCAGAGCTCAAAGTATGAGACATCAAATTGCTTGTGAAATTGCCCACGACAGAGGAGGATGGAAGAAGATGGAGAAGCTTCTCTTGACTTTGGTTGGTTAGAGAGGAGGTGAGGAACTCAACTGTTGATTCATTAAGGTTTCCTCCAGCATCTCTCATTGGTTTTGTACCTGCCCTTTCTGCTCAGATCTCCTTCAAAGACCCCGGCAGGACTGTGGGGAAAACCCTCTGTGAAAATTCACCCTAAGAGCATCATTTTCTGGGTTATTCTCATTTCTACTGCAGCTCCAGCCAGCAGAGCTATTGCTGGACCCTTCACATCGAGGCACATGTGAAGCCCACTTGTGGTAAAATTGCTGGGAAAATTGGGAATGGCAAAGAGATCCTTCTACAACTTTTCTCCTTTTTGTTTTTTTCGGGTAGATGTTTGGCAAGGAGGGGCTGTGCACACCTGGAAGCAAAAACACCAGAGCTGCTGGGAGACAAAGGCAAAGAGAGAAAGCAAAAGGCTGAGGTGATGGTGAAGCAGCAGAGACAGCCCCATCCTGGCATGCCAGTAGGCAAGTCAATAATTGAAATAGTATTTGCTGTCAAATTTCCATGTTTTCATAGTGTCTCTCACAAAAAAACACTGCACATTATGATGCTATAAATCCTTATTATCTACGTCTTCACAACCAGAAGCTTCCCATTACCCAATAGAAGGGTGAATCCCATGAGACACATTAATGGCATTAAAAACTCCTCCTGTTATCTTAAACCTTGATTAATCAACCTTATTTAGTACATGATAGTGGGATAATTGAAGCTGTCCCTGTATTTTTTTTAAAGTGCAATAAGTACTTTAGCATCTGCAGCTCCATTTTCTTCTTGCACAGATATTGATACTTCCTGGAAAGCCTTGTGAAATGTTCTGCCTGGGGATGCTTCCACTGCTCTATATTTTCGGGGCACGTTAGCTGGGGGTTCCTGTTTGTAGCATTTTTAGCAGGAGAGCAGGATTGCTGCTTCTCACAAACCCATCTGTTCCTGCTGCTCATTCACAACCTGGAGCCACAGTCTCCTGTCATCTCCCTGTCACTTCGGAAAATAATAACTGTGGGAGGACAATATAATGGATTGTTCACTGGCATATTCCTAGATATTAAAAGTACAATTTGGGGATTGGTTCCAGGAAAATGGAAAATTATTTTATAAGAGTTTAACATAATTATGAGCAAATTAGGCCTGATCCTCATCTCACTTGGGTCTACATTCACTCACAGCTCGTGGAGCTGGCTGGTATTTTTGGAATGTGAAGTCTTCTGTGACATTTTTTACAACAGAGGTAATTTAGAGACAAAAGTTCTGTAATTTTTCTGTGCTTTTTTTCTGCTTCTTTTTTGGCTTTTTTTTTTTCTTATTTCAGTAAACACATAAAAAAAAAAAAAAAGAAAAAGTCTTGTAAAAATTTTCCACAAAGAGAACAACATTTTGTGTTTTCTTGAGAGCATATTGTCAGGCAACAGAGGAACACAACAGAGGCAATTTGGGCTGAGGGAGTTGTTGCCCAGATAGTTTTATGTCCTCTAAAGCTGCCTTTGTCCCCCTGTATCGTCAAGGTCCATCAAATTCTGCTGCTCCGACTGACTGCCAAGGGAAGCTGCGAAAAAATTTTTGCCAATGATGCTTTGCATGTAAAAAAAAAAAAAAAAAAAAAAAGGGAATATCAGCAATTATTATTTTGGCATTATTAAAAATAGGCTTTGCATAAAATACTTAGAGAAGAACTAAGCTCCAGTACTGTAAGGCAGACGGAGAGCATCCTCTCTCCTTCCCACTGCTCTTTTCCTCCGCTGTGAAAGTCAAGATGAACAAATTTCCCCTTTATTTCTCAGACAATATTTTCTCTTTGAGTAAAGATATAAGAGATCACAGGAAGTTAAAAAGGTCCTTTTCAAAATAGCTTTGGCTTTTCCTAATGTTTTATAGTCTGCAATTAACATCATTGGCCAGTGTCCCCCGAGGCCTCAGGAAATGCAATGACAGCACCAATGATCTTCATGACTGATGGACTTTTTGGCAGATGCTTTTAAGCACCAAAGCCTGGCTATTGTGGACCCAAATGTGTGCAAACTGAGTGGTCCCCATGAGCCCACACAGCTGTAACCAGGGCCCAGCATCCCAATGGAAAGTGTTTGTTTAGGAGCACCTCCAACATCTCATAACCTAATGGGAGGGGAAAACCTTCCTGCTGATGGCACCTCCCCTCTTCTTGCCATTTTCATTCTCTTTTATTATTAAAAATAAAAATGTTTTCAAATCCCCCATCCTTTCCCAGCACACTCCAGGAGGTGGGAGCCTGTGTTGTCTGGAGCACAGATCCTGTTTCTGGGATCACACAGACCACAGGTGCAGCTACAGCTCAGGCAGCTTTAGGGCAGTGGGATGAGCAGAGTCCCAGGTGAGGGTGGATGTGGCTCCCTGGATGTGCTCAGGCCATTCAGCTGTTGTTTCAGTGGTGGTGATTTATGCCCTGATGACCATCTCCACCTGCTGAGTTATTTACAACTGATTTTTCTGGGGAAAAAAAATGTACTTTAGCCCCTAATAGGTGCATTTCTTTGGGCTAAGCATGTGGGCACTGGGGACAGAAAACAACCAGGGGAACACACCAGCCATTCAGTGTGTCTCAAGACTCCAGGCTGAGGACAAAAAAAGCCCTGCATCACCAGAACTCACTGCTAAATGATAACTTAAGCCAATTATACATGCCTCATTCATCTTTTAGATAAGAAGCAGAGAGAAATAGTTTTTCTATTTCCATAATCATGCCACTAACTAGACAAAACGTGATAATCCATAATGAGCTAGGAAGAGAATTAAGTGGAGAACAGGGTCTTTTGATGACTTGCCAGTCCTCTCTAACATCATTCATACAGGTTATTGACACAGGACCAATTTTTCATCCTCACTTTAACAGGACTCCCATTATTACAGTTGAAAAATGGCAGGCACAAATGTTTGCAGGCACATTTTGGTACCTTAATTTAAGATTTCTTCAGATTTACAAGTTCTTAATTGTAAGTACAAGCCAGGTGCCCAGGAAATAATGTCATGTGCAAACAGCTGCAAATACTATTTCTGTGTGATTGGAAGCTGGTCTCCAACTCTGGCCCTCAGTAACCACAAAGTGGGTTTTCCTCCTCATGAAACACACTTTGTCACCCTTATTGGCCAGCAATGAACTGGAAATAAATTTCTGAGACACCAACTCCAGGCAAGAATTTGAGATGGTTTTTACAAAGTGTCTGGGAAGAGAAAGCCAAAAATTTTGGGAGGAGATTTGAGGAGGAAAATACAGCTTAGTCTGAGTTTTCTAAAACTTTGGGGAAAGAATTAAAAATACTGTGACTCCTGGAGTGGCTTGGACTCCTGTGTTTTCAGCTCTGCAAGAGCTGGCACCTTGGCCATTTCAGAAAGTCTGTCTTTTGTGTTTCCTTTCTCCCAGCCCTTTCCTTTGAGCCCAGACATGCTCAGCCCTGGCAGAACAGCCAAGGTATGCAGCCACGTGCTGAATACCACCTTGCCAATAACATGTCAATTTTATTTCTCTCTCAGGACACCAGAACTTTTTTCCAATAAAACACCAATTTCATTCTAAAAAGACTTTTCCAGCTCTCACATTCATGGGAAAAAAAAAAAAAAAAAAGGCAAGGATTAAGAAAGAACCCCAAATTTATTATTTCCATTAAACTTCCCACAGTTCTTTAAAGGAGGTTTTTCTCTGGATGCTGAAGTGTTCCTGTAGGGTCCCACAGGGTTGGACACCTGTGTGGCCATGAGGGACCACGGTGCTGATGGCCCTTGTGCCACCCTGGGGCCTGGGCTTTCTAACAGAGACACTATGCTGCTCCACCCCAAAAATGCATCACCCCAGCGGCCCCTGGCAGGCAATATGATGGGAGGTGAGTCCATGAGCATCCTCCTCACATTTTTCTTCATTCTTCCCTTTTTTTTCAGTTTCTCAGCTCACTCGATTTGAGGTTGGGATGCACAATCTGGTAAATATGACAGCAACAAGGGACTTTAAAGTCTTTTCTTGGTCATTACTTATTGATTGCCTTACAGAAAACTCCACTGGGACTGAAAGGAGGACAGAAATTCTTTCTAAAAAGCATTAATCCCTCTTTTTTTAAGGAGATTGAGTTAGATTTTTCAGTTTTTTCAAAGTAGAAGCTTCAGGGGTGGAGTTTTCTTCAGCTGAAACATCTCAGCTAGAGCCACTAAGAGATGGACAGAGGGGAAAAACTTTCCCAGAATTTTTTTTTTAATTGACAATTCCCAGAGGGTCCCCCTGCTTTCTCCATTACTGAAGCTCTCATTGCTGAGAGAGGGGCAGGTTTTATATGAATTAAAATTTGAGAGCTTGTGCCCGTCAGAGAACCATTGCATCAATTTGCAGTTTGTACAAATTAATACTACATGACGAGAAAATTCAATACAGCAATTTTTGTGTAAAGCCACCCCAGAGTGCTTTGCAAATAAAACACACTGAAATGCCATGTGCAAGGTCTGCTCTCCACCAAATGATAAATATTAATGCCCTAAACAGAAGGGATATTTATGCTTCAACCTGCAAGCATTTACTGATTTTTATTCCATCCTGACCTTGGTTGGAAGAACAGCCCCACACCAGCAGGGTGTCCCCCAGCCCAGGGTCAGCCTTTGGTTGGGGACACAAAATGTGGGTGATTTAAAGCACTGGCAGCACTGTGAGCATCTCGTGTAAACACCTGGGTTTTAAAGATCACACACTGCTGTGCAATGCTCATCAAAATATCTGCTGGGAGGCTGGGGAGGCCCTGGCACAGAGCAGCTGTGGCTGCCCCATTCCTGGAATTGTTCAAGGCTGGGCTGGAAGGGGCTTGGAGCAACCTGGGATAGTGGAAAGTGTTCCTGCCCATGGCAGGGGGTTGGAAGTACATAATCTACAACCCAAACCATTCCAAGACTCTGTGAAAATAACCTTGAATCATCCAAGTGTTGGAGGGGAGAGGGGTTGCCCACAGGGCTGTTTGCACAGCTCCAGGCTGCTGGGGCAGAGCTTCCTCTGGCACACCTGAACACACTGGCCTTGAGACAGCAGGCTAGAAAAGCATCGAATCAGAGCAATAAATAGATCAGGAGTCATAAGAAATGTGGAGGAGGAGGAGGAGGTAAGAAAGGAGCCTGACAAAGTTCAGGGCCAGTGCAGGGTGGGCATTTCCTTCATCAGGATAACAGAATACACCCAGGCTCTTTGCAATGCCTTGCTGACTATTCCCATCCAAGCCTGGTCCAGAGTAAGGTTGTTGTTTTTTTTCTTTTCCCTCAAAAAGCTAATCTCCACCCCTTCAGTGTAGGTTATAGGATAAAATCACTGCCATTCTGGGAGTGCAAATCAGCTCTACCTGCCACGGAGCCTGCAGAGATTTACCACCATCGTTTAGCACACCACCCGTAGATTAAAGGGGCTTGTCCTTTTCACTTCACCTTATTTATGATTTTCAAACAATAAAGCATTCAGGGAGAAATTATGGCTCTGTTAAGCCATAGATGTGTCCATATTCACCCCCCCATAAATGTACCTGAGGGCTGGAAGTTCATCAGTTCGAATTCAGGAATGAATCTGAACTGGAGCCAAGCAAATATTGGACCCAGACCAGCTTGGGTTTACACCAGCTTTACAAAATCCCCTTTGCTTTGAGACTTCAGGCAAGGTGCAGCCTGTTTGTGTTCCAGTCTGGGCTTCATACAACCCAGTGTTGCCCAAATATTTATGAATTTTTAATGAAAATTTAGTGAG